AAATTTGCAAGACTCAGAGGAATTGTAATGATAGGTGTACACATTGCCTCTTATCGCTAGATTAAAATCCATCTGCTTGATCTTTATACAAAACTAAGGAATCTCAAACAGAGATCAAGGTGTGGAGAAACATCCTGATGATGCCTTTTGTTAGTGTGTTAATGAACTTGCTTGGTTAATGTCATAGAAAAAGTCATATAAACCCCCAGACAAAATCTTTTACCTTAACCTGTATACTTTCCAATGATAATGCTTTTCAGAGACTGAAGCTTAAATTAAAATATGAAAAGAAGAGGTGGGTAGATAGGGGTTCTTGCTAGCTGCTCATCTGCTAATTTGGACTATTTTTTTAATCCTTATTAAAACTACTAATACATTTTGAAGCAAGTAAGGCTTTTGTGTCTTTTGTCCTTTTCTTCTAATTTTGATTTTTTGTCTTTATCTACTTTTCTCCTAATTTGAGAGCTACTCTAGCCTGTGCCATTCATCACAAGAACATCTCAGAGCGACTTGGAAATGTTTCAAGTTTTAACAATCAGAGACTTAACCTGTTTTTTCTCATAGAAGTTACCTGCCTAGACACACTAGGAAGACAAACACTGAATAACAGAAGTTGAATAATAATAGTAATGAAGAATTTTGCATGAGAAATAAAACCCTGGTAAAATCAGGTCTTTTGTTGTAGATTGCTGAGATACTTTACCAGTGTAAGGAGAAGAGTGTCGACATATGTCAGGCTATCCTCCCTAAATTAGAATTACTGTACAGGGGAAACCTTGGCTGCTGTAACTATCCCTGCAACATTTGCTATTTTCTTGTACCTTTTTTCTTTCAAATACATGGGGCTATTTGGGGGTGCATTTTTGTTCTTAAAGTCTCTTTCTTACTTGATCTTTTTGTTCTAGTATAATTCTTCTAACTTGATCTAATCACATTTTCTGACTTGCTTGTCAATATAAGATAAATCGGGGGGGGGAAGGAAGAATTGCTTTGATTGTTTGTGTTGTGTGCGGTTTTTTTACTGAATTTCTTGCTTTAGAGTGGGGTAAAGTTGACAGCCTAGGAAACTAAAGCATCAGTACATCTTTTCTCAGCCTATTTTGATAGTATGCTTTATCCCTGACCTGCAAAAGCCACCTCTGCATGTGAGAGGGTAGTTCATTCTCCATAGCTCTTTCAGTCCTTGTCCTTTTTGCTAGGAGTACCATCAAGATTGCTAATTATAGTAATAGGTTTGTGATGTGAGTACTTCTCCTCTGAAAACTGGTGAAATTCATTTGATATAGGCCATAAAACAGCCATTTGTGGGTACCAAGTTTCAGCCACCATCACTTTGGCCCAAGCAGTAGCTAAATAGTGCAGTAGTGTTTTTCCTTGCACCCTATTTCATTTTTAATGTTCTTCCTGTAGCCAAAGAGAACTCCCAACTGTTTTGTATTTCCACTGTGTTTCAGACCCTTTTCTGCTGAAACTCTGATGCCTATTTTCAATTGTAAGAAACTAAACCTGCATCAGTTAAATAAACCAACACAAAATAATATCAAGAGTGAGCTTTATACAGCCTTAAATATCTTGGTTTGTTGTTTGGGGGTTTTTTTTACAAAAAAGCCATTGAAGGTGTGGCTTGGACAGAAACAGAGAGTAAAGCATTTTTTTCAAAATTACAAAATTATTTCAGTTGTTAGTACTGTAGCACTTTCCCTCAAAAGAAAGGCATAAAAATATTATAGCTTTAAAACTTACTTTGCTGGAAGAAAAGTGGCTTGAGAAAGAAAATGGCTTATGTCAGCTACTTTAGCATCACTGGAAAGGAACAAGAAGAAAATATTAACAAGGCTTGCATTTTCTTCATATTGGCAGTAAACATGATACATGCGATTTAAGAGACTTTTTGTGGTGTGGTATTTTTACACTTCTCCTTTTTTAAAGGAAATTTCATAAAAACTGAGATTTTCAGATTTCTGTTGCTACCACTTTTCTGGGTTTCCTAGCAGTGCTTTTCTTTAAATGGAAATGCAATCAGTCCTTACTTCATGGTGCCTTCAGTGTTTCTTTCAGGTCTGACCACTAAGTCCAAGAGTGACCTCCTCAGTAATTCATAAAAAAAGTATTGTTCCCCACCCCCTTACTACATGTGGGTTCATGCACTTAGATACACCTCTTTCCCTTTTTCAGGGTTGTTTTGCCATATTACTGGGGGTTTTTGTACTTTACGCCCAGGAATTGTTCTTGGATTACAAGAACTTGTATGGCTGGTATGATTCACTGCTTTCACTAGCACTAGAATTCAAAATAGCTGATTCAGAATCAGGCTGATTCTGACTTCGGTGTTAATGATGTAATAGTGTTGACTCTGAGCAGAATTGATCCTGTTTCCCTGATATGCGGGGGCATGTCTGCTTTACAGGTGCAGGTGCAGATGTTCAATTGCAGCTCCTGCAGATCTGTGGAAGCATTAAATAGATGGAGTAGTCCAGAGTTAGCTACTGAAACAGTTTTAGAGGTTGCAACCAGTACCGCACTAAACATCTCCTGGCTGCACCTCCCTTACTGGTCATACTTGCACTTAGCTAAGGATAGCAAGGTTAAATACATAGAGCTTGTAGTTCCATCTCCCCCATCAGCGTGCATACACTCTGAGTGAGATGAGTCCTACTGGCATTTATTTTAGAGAAATTATCTTTAGGTTTACATGCTTATCAGGATGAGTCCTGTTGGTATTTATTTTATAGAAATTAACTTCAGTTTCCCCACAGGAATAAAGATTTTTCTGTACTTTTAGAAAATTTATGGCAAAGTTGATTTTAAAAATCTTGTGTGTAAATTTGTCACTGGCCTTTGCATAATTGTGATGTCTTCAGGAAAGCCACTATACTGAAGCTAGAGACCAAAAGCAGCCCTGGTACTAGATCAGGGAAATGGAGAAGGATGTGTGGCCCTTTGCTCACTCCTTCTAACAGTATACATGCCAGTCATGTTACACCACTGCTCATGGTCCTGGCAACCTGTTAGTTCCATATTTTGCTCAACACCATGGTTTATGAGCTTTTACCTACCCACACAAACTCTTCTTGCCTACAGTAGGTGTGCACAGAAAACTCTGTATTTTGGATACTCAGCAGAAAACTGACAGTAACATAAGGGAGGGTTGGTGGGGGTTTTTTGTTTCTTTTTTTTGCAGGAGGAGGCACCTATACTGCCTTCCAAACTGCATGTGTGAAGTATAGTAAATATATGGGTTAAAAAAAATCATAATTCAAATCTCTATAGTGGTACTGATCAGATCTCTGTTTCTGTAGCAATGAGAACCAAAGGTGGCCTTTTAAGGCTCACAGTTCTTCTACCAATTTCCAGTTCTGCTTCAGGATTCTTAAAGTATTAGAGTGCGTGCTTTAAACCCACAAAACTTACCTTTACCTAATTTTCACCATTCTAACCTAAGTTTCCACGGAAACAGGGTTGAAAAAGCTGCTGGTAGCCAGCAGGCAGCCAGCAGCTGAGAGTGAGAACTCTCCTTTGTCACTTTCCACTACTGGATGCCTGCTGCGTGCCAGTGTGCAAAGCTACCTAGGCTTCTAAAATCTGGCTTACTTTCAATTTGAGGCGGAAAAATTAAATTAATCTACTCTTTTCTGTCTTTGGATTGTCGCAGTAAATTCCAGGAGGGCAAATGGGCTAATGAGTCCTGATCTGTTCAGTTACATTGAGCCCCACATAACCAAAGCTTTGCCAACCAACTCGGCCTCTCCTTTCATAATTTCCATGTTTTAAAAGCATTCTGTCTCAATTTTTTTTGTCTGTGCATGTGTACATGCATATTGTGGTACCTTAATTCTCTGTATCTATTTCTCTACATATTTATGAACCTTTTTTGAATACAGTATAACCAATGTACAAAATTCCCTTTTTTTCCTGTATACTTAGGGAACATTTCTGAATGAACACATTATAAACTGATCCTCGGTTAAATATTAGGAGTAGGATGTGAATGGAGATGGCTTTTAACCAGAAGTAGATTATAGCTGCGGGAAGACTAAAGGGTCTATTTGGTCAAGACTCATACAAAACTGAGATAAGCATGCACAACCTGACAAGATCAGATTAGATCCTTCCTCCACGAGTGCTTTTCCCATAAATATTTATCTACTTTCTATTATAAATAACCAGGAAATGAAAAAGAAGGATAGATTCCTTTTTAAAAATAGCCTAGAAATAGAAATGCAGCTTCAAATCTTATGGGTAATGATATTTAAAGTATGCAGTACATTCCAATACTGGTTGCTATTTTTTAGATGGGAGTAAAGTACTGAAATTCTTTGTGGCAGCTACATAAATCAGCAGCATTTATCACCAAAAAAAGAACTTTGTACATATGTGAAATTTTGCCTACTACTGGGTACCTTAGAATTAAATAGCTTATCACCTATGAGAGAATAGGTGTTGACAGAGTCAGCACTGCTGTATTTTTAAGCTTGCCTGAGGCAACATAGCTGGCATTGAAGTTAAGCTTGGCATTTTTTCACCCTGTCCCTCCTCCCTTCAGCCCAAGTGAATGCTCACTTCATCAGTGAGAAACACAACTGACTTGCCTGCCAGATGCAACAGAGATCCATGAATTCACATCTATTCTGCAGATTTGTGTTTCATTCAGATTGTCAATACTTTGACTTCACTTGTTCGTGTAGTAGTGTTAAGGGGTAAAAATCTGAAGCTGGGCATGTGCCACTAATTCAGAAAGGCATATTTGTTGGTGATACACTCATCAGAACCTGTGTGGATTGCCTTTCTGCTATAATGAAAAATAGCTCTTTAACTTTGAGATTTAAAACCTTAAAAATGTACAGAATAAGATTTTTACAATTCATCTTTGACGGTAACGAGTGTGCACTTTTTAAAACACTTTGGAGTCACATAAGAATAACATTAGTGCTTTAAAAATCTCAAGATGAGAAATGTAAGTCCTTTTTTCTTTTTATTTTAAATCTTTTTTTTTCCTCTAGCATTTTACGATGGGATAATGAGACAGATGTCTCTCAACTGGAAGGACATTTTGACATTGTTATGTGTGCTGACTGGTAAGTACATAAAAATCATAAAACTCATGTTAGAAAAATAGCTTTGCTGGAGTAATTGTACTGTGCTGCTTGCTGATGGCTAAGCAAAGTCAACAAATGAAGCACAAAGCCACCTTAACCTCAACAAATTAATATTCATCTCCATGTGACAGTTATAAGGTAGTCTTCTATCACACAGTAACTTCTACCACATTATTTCCCAAAGATTGATTTTGAGAAGCATTTCCATTTTCTGGAATTGCCTCTGTTTCATGCTTGACGTATCAGTAAATGGACGACTTAGGCAAATTGCAAATAATTATGGCTCAGTGAGGAACAGTCTGGAGAAAAGGGAGTTTATCAACACAAACAGCTCAATTAGCTTACTTCTTAGGAAAGATCTGACTATTGATATAAGGGGATATATTTTTTGCTCCCTGGAATGTCTTTCCAAGGAAAAAGAGATTTTCAAACCTTTTTCCCCACCACCACATTCTGTTCCTTAAATCAATTTGGCATCAATATTTGTAGATATAGGCTTTATATTATTTACACAGGAATATGTTAATTATAAGATAATTCATAGTAAGGAAAATAAGAGTACTGCACTTAATTTATGAAAAGGTAGAAACATGTTGCACTATGGTGGATTGTTTAATAATTTATGCAAATAGATTTGATTATTGACACAACCCTTTTCTGATACTGCATTTGCAGGATTGTGCTGTGCTATATTTGCTGTGTGCTAGCTTTAAAAATGGTACATTATTAATAATTTGTGTTATAAAAATGTAGACAGTGTAAAAAAAAGAGCTGTGCAAATTTTATTTAGGAGAGTAGATATTTTTAAACAAATCTGTTTTCCCTTCATGGATATTTGCTCTTGACCCTTTAAATGTCTACAGCAGAAAAAGAGCTGTTTATGTTTTGTGACACGTAACTGTTGTGAGAAACCAAATTCTGAAAAAACGGTCTTGCTAGGACAGCTCAGTTCAGCAAATTTCTGTACCTTATTAAAAAATAGTTAAAGGAAAAAGCAAAGAGAAGTATGAAGCTGTCTATTGTCTTTTTAAACAATGTTCTTTTTTAAGTGGCTTCTTATAAAATATTCCCCTAAAGCTTTTTTTTTTCCCCTTTCATATTTTTCAAACTCTTCTTATTTCAGAAAAGTTATTGGTTTTGTATAGCACTGGAGAAAGTGTATTTAGCGATCTTTTTGCCATTTTCTAATACCTATTTGTTGACAGAATGCAACAGTGCTTTGTTTCTCTTAGCATTTAATTTGTGAAAAGTTCTTTGTTCCCAAAAAGGACAGAGGAGGGTTTCTAACTAATCGCTGATAATGTGCCTCAGAGATGCATCATCTGATTAAAATAAGGAGCTAAACAACACCATATGATTTCAGCAAGTAATTTAGTAAATGCCTTCCTCACCAAATATTAGAATGGATACTCCAGGTTTCATTGCACAGATGAAGTTAATGCTGGACAGGATTAGATCAGATTAAGTATGAAAGTCAGATCAGAGTGCTGGCGGACATGAGCAGGAGGGCAGCAGTCTTCTCGGAGGCTTAGACAAGGCTCACATATGGATGTTCTCCAGATTATGTGGGTGAAGCAAGGTCTTGCCAAGAGATTTAGAGTTAAATTTGTTCTTCACACAAATATCAAAACAACCTGGCTGTGCCTTCTCTTGTATTCTTGATACTCACACCATGTCATCCTATTTGTGCTGGGAGTACAACAGAGTGGAGCAAGACTTAAGTTGTTTTTTTCAGTAATATTCGTGCCTAATACTCCTCCCAGTCTGTTTGGAAATAGTGTAGTTTCTTTAGGAAACAAAGAATCAAACATGACAGGTAAAATACATAATGTATTTGCAATCCCTGCATTTTGTACATATATTTTGAAGCACTTAAGATGCAGGTAAGTGTATAAATATTTATAGATTTCTAAAAAATAAATAGAAATGTGCAGGTTCGCTTAAAGTATTTGGTTTTATACACAAATTATCTGCATTTTCTTATTGCAGGTGCCCATATATATATAGTTTAATAAGCATGAAAATCCCTTCATTGTTTGTTTCTTTTAGAAATCATTCTTTTAGTTATGGACACTAGGTTTTCTGGTACATGAAAAGGCTGGGGAAAGAAATGTTCCATGCTTTATCAAACTCAAATCATCTTTTCATTTTCATGTACTTCTCTTCCGAGATATAGAATCGGTTTGAGAACAGTTGGCAGGATTTTTGCTCTCTGAATTTTTTGGGCTACCATTGAAGAGGAAAAAGAAAAATCCCTTTTCTTCTAACTCCTCGGCTGAAACCTGAAGTATGCAGTGATAAAAACAGATAGAATAGATTGCATTTAGTTTAACACCATCATATAGCTCACTGTCAGTCAATAAAATCTGAGATTAGAACAGAGAACTAAAAAGCAAAAAATCGGAGTTCGAATATTAGGTACATGGATAAATTTTTATTGAAGTATTTCCAGCAAGGGTGATATTGTCTGATTCTCTGAATAGCTAACCAGTGGTACTGCTTGATCCCATTTACATGAAAACAAGCTCTATTCATAAACATATTCCAAATCCACATGGAGATTCAAGGAAAAATGTACATGATTACAGCAAGCAGGGATATGTTTATATTCATATATTTACAGTCAGACTTTCATAAACCTTGTGTGCAGGAGTGGAAAATAAGTTATTTCCCAGAACAAACAGTCTATTAGTTAACAGCTAAATTTAGTAGCTCAACTAGATTATAAAATAAATAAGAGGCAAACTGTGAAAGCTAGCCATTATTTAACCATTCAGGATTTTGACAATAAAAATAGTTTCATGGTTCAGCAGGTCCGAAATAATTTGTAAAATTGTAAAATGTCAACTATGAGATAAAAATAATAAGAAAAAAATCTTGGTGAGGCTACACCTGGAAGGAGGATACAGTGAAAAAATACTGAAATAACAGAATCTTTAAAGCATATCCACCCATCTCATATTTTTGAGGGGGAATTTTAAGGCCAGGTGAGGGCTCCCAGAATTTTTGACTTTCATTTGACCTACACTTGTGGATATTAAGTCATACAGGTGCTGGAATTGTGAGTATGAATAGAAGAGGCGAAATAACAGATGCCTCTATTGACAGGCCAAAACAAAGACTCTTCCACAGCTCTTGTGAGCCTCAAATTTCTTATTATTAAAATAGCGTATGTACTTTCCTTTATTGAGAAAAAAATTTCTGAGATTTTTAATCCGAAGACAGAGTCAAAGCCAGTAGGACTGAGACAATAAAAAAATCTTTATCTTTTACTTTATTGTAAAACAAGTTTTCACAAATAATTTAATGTAGAGGTGGTATAAGGTTTTATACCCCCATATTGTTGGAAATGCATAATATTTATTCTTTACTTACAATGATTCTATTCTTAAAGTTTGGCACATGCATAAGTGTTCACACGACAGAGGCCAGGGGGAGCTATCCCACATTACTTTCACTGCTGAGATTTTTGCTGAAGTCATGGGGAGTTATGTCTTCACCAGGAATGTGGAACTGAACTGAAAGTATTCTTTAAATACCTTACAATACCTTATTTTGTCTCTGTTAGTTTATTGCCAGAATGCAGTAAGGCCTCTGTCCTTCTTCCATTTAAACTTATTATTCCTTTTAGGCCTGATTTCTTGCACACACTTTCAAGTGCATTGGAACCTGACCACATGGAAGTAAGGGTTTTTTTCAGTTCGTGTCACCCATGTAGTTGAAGGCGAACAAAAGGATAAATGACTCTACACATTAAACACTACACATTTAATAGTGTCTGAAGTACACCTGTAAACCCAGGTCCTTTAACAATTGCAAAGCATGCAAAAAGAAAAATAAATTCAGCATAAAACAAATACCACCATGAAGCAAACTGAGAATCTACTTGGGTTTTTTATTTGTTTCCTTGTGACTTACTGTTACTTCTGCACAGTTTTGGTATAAACTTTCTTTTTTTTTTTTATGGTAATTTAAAATGTAAAAAAAAAAAAAAAAATAAGAGAGAAGAGAGGTGACAAGGTTGCCTGCCTGTTCATCAAGATTTCACAGGTTAAGAGCATTGCCTAAACAAAGACCAAATCATCAACTGTGTTCTCACCTCTCTACTACTGTGATTCAAAACTTCCTTGCTGACCCAAGAAAACCTTGCTATTCCTGTCCTGAGCTACTGCTTTCGCAGTGTCCTCACTACATAAACATGAGATATTACCACTAAAGTAATGGCAAGCTAAGCCAAATTTGAACTGAGGTGTGAGAACTGAGTGTGAATGGTTTGGAACAATACATTATCTAATTTTACTGAGTGGTTCACAGAATCACAGAATTGTTAGGGTTGGAAGTGACCTCTGGAGATCATCTAGTCCAACGCCCCTGCCGAGGCAGGGTCACTTAGAGCAGTTTACACAGGAACATGTGTGCTGTGAGCTTCGAAGGATGCTTTTGGGTACATTTTCAGTAGGCTGTGGTAATAATTAGTCATACAAATTCTACTGGTAAGAGAGATTGCGTGACTAAATCCCCTTGCGTGGGCCAAATCCTGTGCTGTTCCTGTCTGCAGCATAGATTATCTAATAACTTCTTCAGGATTTTCCTTATTCAAAGCATCCCCTGACTCAGGTGGAGGATAGAGATGTTTCCTGGAGTCACTGCATTGCATTAACACTGCTTCCAGTCTTCTCTGCTCCTTCTGGTCACAGTGTATGGCTCACAGAGCAACAGTTTGGAAATCACAATATCAAACTGTGTTCGATTAAGTAGGTCGTGTCCCAGGGACAGGCCTTTTGGAGGGCAGGGACAACTTGGGGCAACTGTCTCAGGTTATCTAGGTTTCCTAAGGTAAGAGGGCTAAGAGTCTACCTCCCATACCACCAAAATGTCAGCCGGGGTTGGACAGAAAAGGTATTATTGAAGTTGTCTAATCTAGCAGGTCATGTAACCCTTTAGAGTTCTCACACACTCAGTTCACAGTTTTGGTGGACAAAGGCCTGTAGTTCTCATTGTGAAGGAACAAGATTGGTAGCAGCAGTTGTGCCCCTATCTCATTGTAAGAAGAGAGAATGGTATTCAGGTCCATGAAAAAGAGATTTTAACACTGGTAAGCTGCCCCAAGATTGTGTTTCCACTACACTGCTATCAATAATAAAAATAGTATAAATGCACTTTTCATTTGGAATGTACTTCTGTTTACACAGGATCCCAGGAAGTCTTAAATGTGTGAGTATTTGTGATGATGTGGAAGAAAATTAATTACTTTTAGCTATTCTTTTGGGAGAGTGATCATGTATTCCACTTCTTCTGCGGGTGGTTAAGTTCCCAGTGAAGTAGTGTCTTAGGACATCTATCTGTATAGGGATCAACCTGAGGTGAATGTCATTAAAACACCCAAGAGACATCAGATATAAGAGCTGCTCTTTCAATGAATTAAATTTAACTCACATTTTTTCAATAAGCTTCTTCCAGTAAGATGAATCAAGGCTGAGGGGTAACCATCATGCCAATTGCACAAGTTTAAATTTTCTTGTGAGCCAGGCTATCAGAGAAGCTGATAGCTAGTACTTCATATTCTTGAGAAGAAATTCAGAAGGTCATACTTCTCTATTAAATGTTCTTTAAGATGTGTGTGGATACCCATTCTACCATATTTTCTCAACAATATGAGGCTCTGCCAGTTTTTACGGATGAAATTTGGTCACATAAAGTTTTCTTATAGACTTGTTTGTTTGTTTATTCCCCAGTAGCAAAAATTCACAGCTCTTACACAGCTACTTGACTCTATGATATGTAATATTATATTCTCCTTGGTAGCTGTGGAGTGTCTAAATATCCACACAACTTCTGTTCTTGATGAGAGGGCTGTTGTTGACAGATTACTTTCTTTCTCTTCAGAGTTTCCATATATTCTTCATGTTCTTTTAGAATTTCTAACCTGGAAAAAAAATTACCTACATCTTTTCAGAAAAGAAGTTTGAGCATAAAGGGAAGGGGAGTATAGGGAAAAAACCTTAGAGAATGGACAAAATGCCATGTAGTGTTAAACTTGAACTTGATACAGCTGGGAAGCAGTTTTATTACAGAGAAAATGTGGGGGAAGAAAAAAAGAAGAAAAAAAAAATCACATTATCTGTGGCCTGCTTGATAGAGTTTCTTATCTGAATCACCAATATAAATGCAGCCCACAGTAGTAAGGACTGAAAGGCATCAGTTGCTATCAGATGGTTGTTCACTAACCATTGTAAATGCACTCATCCACAGTAACTACATGTCCACAAATATCTAGTCAAGAGTGATTGGCACCCTGGTTGCCACTATTAGTATATACATTAAGGTACTGAGGGGCATGAAGAATGAATTATCCCCTCAAATCATGAGGTAATCACACCAAAATAGGGCTGAGCGTGTTGGCAACATTGCATGGGAAAATTGACTCTGCTGCTATCCTTGCGGGACCCATGCTGGAGATGAAGGATTGCACTCTTGAGAGATGACAACTCTGTACAATCTGGGCCATTGTATTTGAACAGTGTTTGAGAGAGAGAGAGGGTAAGATCCTTTAAATCTTTATGGGGATAGACAGAGATAGATATATAAATATAACAAATATGCATAATAAGTAAGAATTAATGCCAAAACTGTGAAGGTAAAAGGAAAAAAAATACCCTTAATAGTAACACCTGAAACACAATAGAAAACACTTTTAAAAACTTCCAGTCCCCTTGTATAAAAAACCATGTAAAATGCTAACTTTTTATATTGATCCTCATTTCTGATACAGTACTATTTTAATAGCTAGCATGTATGATCAGTGAATTTCAGCTATATAAAGAGCAGTTTCATGTTATTAATTTAGCTTTGGTTTAGATTGTATTTCATGTTATGTATTTCTAATGTTAAAAGAGCCTGCACTGGATAGAAATATAAACCACAGTTTCTCTTTTACAGCATTGTGTAAACATATGTAATTAGCCTTGTACTTATCTGCATTAGTATCATTAGAATTGAAAACCCATTTTAATCTGGATTCTGTTCTCTTCTCAATGTCAGCCTGTTTCTGGACCGGTACAGAGCTAGCCTTGTTGATGCAATAAAGAGATTACTCCAACCCAGTGTAAGTATGTTTCTATTTTCTCCTGAACACTGGCTTCAGAATAATTAGTCTGTGCACAATGATTGAGAGAGTAATGGAATGGCAGGATTAATGTCATGTAATACTTTAATACTTATTATGTCCAACTTCAATTGAGTCTTCTAATCTATCAGATTCTTTCCTAATCATAAACTAGGAAACTTCTTATACTTGGCCTTCTGATAAGGAACACAGTGGGTAGTAAAATAAATGAAACCGCTTCAAAGATAGCGTCAGATTATTTTTATCAAAGCGTTTCTCAAGTATTTTCCTTTGATAATAATGTCTTCATATTAAAGTAAAATACAGTATTGAAAGTTTTTATGTTGGCTTCTGTCATTTTTAATCCCTTCAATTGTAACCTTTGTCATTGTGTATTTATTTATTCTGAAAGAATATTTTTTCTTTTCATTTATGTTTATTTAAATAAAAAAACCCTTATACATATACTGTGGCTTAAAATATTTTTCCATTGATTAAGCTCTGTGTTTACATGTTTTATACCTTAGAAAATAGCGAAATTGTGCTCTTCATAAAATGATTATATGTTCTACGAGTGTCACTCAGGAAATATTTTATTGATCTAAATCTGTTAGTTTGTTTAAATCAGAGAGACCTACAGGCAAAAAAAAAATCTGGTATATGCATATATAAAATATATATATTATATCTATAATCTCAAATCTCAAAAAAAATGGAAGACAGCAAAATGAGAAAAGGAGAAAATATGAAGTAATTGGTCTAAGTAGGAGTTTGAGACAGGAATTTTCTCCCTCATGGTTAACATCCAAATCTTCCAATAAAGTAAACTTTCCATTTCAAAATAAAAGTATTTCCTGCTAGCAATGCATTCTCCGAATTTTATTTAAAATTTGTATTGTACTTTTTGTACAAGAGATTTTCTCTGTAAAAGAAATAGAAGACCCAAACATGCAAAGGCTTAAGAAACTGAGTCATTTTAGTAATGTTAGTAATCCCATTCTTTGCTTAGAGTGATCAGGTTTCTATTCTTGGTTCTATCATAGACTTTCCTGAGTGACCTAAGGCAAGTTACTTAAGACTGAATTATTTTAATGAGCTGTGGGGCAAAGCTGCCAGGAAGACAGGAGACAGTAGCCACCCTGAGGAAAAGGTTACCCAGATATTTCTGTCAGTGGCAAGTAAGAAAAGGTTAAGCAGCTCCTGCCCAGAGTGACGCGTTCTGAATTTTATGATGTACCAATGTTTGTCCAAGTGCAATAATTTTTGGAACCACAGGTGATCTGGAACACAAAGTTGATCCCAGTTAAAAAAAATACAAAAAGATTTTTTTTTCAGACCAGATCCATGTAAGAAACTGGTTCTTCAGGTATTCCCATAGGCCACTGTACTGGCTCCATGGAAGGACACTGGGGAAGAAAAGCATGAGTGGCAAGAAAAGTGTAGAAGAGATGCACTGGTAACTGTGACCTGGTTGGAGCCTCTGGCTGGAGTGGAAGAAGAGCTGTTAGTTGCTTTCTCTCCTGCTTATAGTTAAACATGGTCTGGTGTTCTGTAGTGCCAAAAACACATATACACATATGTCTGTATATGCATACACAGACACACATTCTTTAGCTGGGCTGATTAGCCAACCAGAGAATTTGATTTAAAAGGCAAGGTGGCCTGAATTTTAAGTAGTGTTGCCATCTAGGCAACAATCTAGATAATTTAGGAATTGTTAACCTGAATTTAAACTAAAACTGGCCTGACTTTTTCTTTTTAACTCCAGTCAGTTTATTCAAATTCATTACTAGCCTTTGTTTTTCAGGGCATATGAGCTACGGTCTGTATGAACATAGGTGGAGTAAAGGGAGATGGCTTTTTGTTGCCTGTCTTCCTAGTCTTGCTTTCTTTAGCACGTTGTGATTAATAGCATAGCCTGTATTAATAGCATAACATTTATTTGCTGTGCATTTTAGGCCATGGTTCCTATTTCTTATCAGCAAAGCTAGCTTAAGAAATTCTTGCTCCTTGCAGGAATTTCTGCTGCAGAGTTTTGGACCACTATCCAAACTGTATTTTTAACTAAACTCAGTTGCCTAATCCACTTTATGAATGGCTATATGGATGGATATCCATTTATGGCATGGCCTTGCAAATTACTGTAATTCATAACTAAGAGGACAGCAAACTGTGGGGTAGAAGTTGGGAGTACAGGCACCTTAAATGAGCTCTTTTGTCCAAAAATTACATGTTCAACAGAGATGCCTTCAAGCATATGCTTTCGTGGTTTGAAAGACCCAAATAAAAGCGTATACTCATTTGAGATCCCAAAAGAAAATACAGTCACAAGTACAAAATAGTTATCGATTTTACTGTTCTTGTTAACCTGTATAAATCTAAGGATAACACCAGAGGACACTTTACTAAATGACACTATACTTGGGCTTTTAAAGGAAAAATAAATTAATAGTGAACTCATTTACCAGTTGCAATAATTAAGAATAGCTTATGGGCATTAGTTTATGCCCAAGCTGAGGCATAAACTTCTTCGATTAAGTTCACTCTTCTACATTAATTATTTTGTCTCAAATTTAGAAGTTGCATTTCCTTTTTGGTTTAGAAGAGTCTGGGGAAAATAATAACCAACAATACCATAGGAAAAAGTGGAGTAAGCAGAAAATTACAGGTATCCTTGCAAAAATTTCTTGAAGAAATTCAGAACACATAATCTATTCTTAGTGCTAGTTTAAAATTCATCTGTGGTATTTCCTTTTTCATTAAGGATGTTATTTGTGGCTATTAGAATCCTTATGGCACATCCTTCTGATGTGTTTTGGGTAACTTTTTGGTTGCCTTGGCACAGGACTGGTTATTTCAGTCATCTGATTCATAGTATTGACCCCATGGACAGTTGTATTGGCATAGGAAGACAGGACCAAAAATTCACAGAGGCAGAAATAAGCAGTTCACAGAGTTACTGAGGGCTGAAATTTCTATCTGAATTTGTCACAGAGGCAGATGTCACCTGTAAACCCATTCAAAGAATTAGGCATGGAAATTCTACATCAAACAAATTTACCTTGAATGGCTGTATTTTATTTCTTTAAAGCTACTTGAATTGATATGCCAACATTTAGTTTTATTTTTTATATCATTAAAATATACTTTAAATTTCAATCTCAGAATAACCTTTTTTTTTTTTTTTTGCATATTTCCCTGATTAAGAACAGTTTTTTGTCAAGGCTTTGATTCTTCTGAGGCCTATCCATTCAAAATCCCAGTGAAGTCAATGGGATGCTGTTGAGCTGTGATTAGTATCAGCAAGTAAGACTGCATTTAATGATGATGATGAGTAAACTTGGTCATAGTCACATCCAAAATATGAATGCTTGTCCCATTGTCTTATTGTAGCATTTTACTGACCCTTCAAACTATTATAACTGACATTTTGCTCTGAATTTTGTTCCCAAATTTAATGGAAATATTTTCCCAGCTGAGGAAAGGCCATTTTGAACTTTAAACCTCATCCTTTAAACATTATCCCAGGAGATACTTTTGAATTAGAATTAAACTTGGGATAGCCAATGAAGAATAGAACCAGGACAGTGGTCTACTTTTTTTATTGTACAGTAACCAAGAAATGAAAAACACACATGAAATTCACATTTCTTTTATAATTGGAAATGTGAATGAAGCCCTACAACAGGTAGCAGAATCACAGAGATCAGGCAGTTGACAAAAAAGTTTTTCGACCCAGATTATTATAGACCAGAATTGAACACCAGTTTTGAGATTATTGTGGTATTAAACTTTAATCATGATTTCTTGTTTTTTATCAGTGAGGGCAAGAGCCTCAAGTATTTTAGATGCACACTAAAGTCAACAGATGAATGGGTTTTTACACTAAGGAGCTGGCCAAAAGTAACTGTGTAATGATTTCCATAAAAGGCCATTCCCCTTTTTTGAAGTTATTTCTAGATTTTCTCTCTGGGTTTAAGAGATATTTCATACGGATATTTTGTACATTCTATTTTACTGTATTTCTCTTTCAAATTTAATTGGAAGTAGTCTACAGAGAACATGAGAAGGAATGACCACATGGACTGTTGACTCCAAATGTGAAGGTGTGCTGCTGTCTGAGCACTGCTTCCTCATCAGAACTGCTGGATCAGTGACCAATGTAGAGTGTGCAGCCTCCTTTCATGAGGTTTAGTCATATCTGAGGTCCCCATGAATCATGTAGTCAGTAAGCCCTGGGTGAAGGACATGTGATCATTACAGTGATCATAGGGATGAGGGACTCAGAGAAGTCTCATCCTTCTTATGCCAGGAAGAGTCTCTGCAGAACAGCATTCTGGGGAGCTTGAGATGGCAGCAGGAGGAGGAGGTTTCCCAGCTGAAGGCTCCCTTTGCTGCCCACTTCTGTTTGATGACATTAAAGCGTGCCAGGGATATGAGGGAACCGAATGTGAATTTCCTGTGTTTAATGTTTTTCATCCTGAGCTGAGCCTATATTCAGACCTAGCATTTACATAAGCAATTCCAGTGCCTTCAACAAGAGTTACACCCCTTTGCACCTCATATTTAGCCATAGAGTTAAAGTTACAGCTACATAAATGAACAGAAGTTGAGTTGCTTTAGATATTGCCATAAATCTCCTTTGTGCTTAAATTTCCCGTGAGAAAGATGAGGATAACAGTACTTCCCTATCTCACAGAGAGATGTTGTGAGAATAAATATAGTGCTGTGGTATTAATGGTTGGAATCTTTTAAGTACACATTGGTACGGTATGTATTGATGTAGTGTTTTTATTGCTGTTTCACTGTGCATTATTTTGGTGTACATATGCATGTGTGAGACACAGATTTGTTTCCTATTCTTCTCTCTAAGTATCTGTGTCAGCGTTGTAACTGTCCTGAATTCCTATTGAAATTCTCTGTACTGATCACCCTTTTCCTGTGGTATACAGATTACGTTTTCTCAAGCTAAATATACTTCTACAGCATCTAATCCTTTTATAATTTTTTAGTTCCCTGAAAACATTTTTTGTCTTTTCAGTTGATTACAGCACCTCACAAATTAGTCTTAGCTCTCATTAACATAAAAGTTAAATACAGGAACTCACAGTAAACTTTGTGGCTCCCCTCAGTGTGATATGCTGTTGGCTGATATTAACCTTTGTTTACAACTCTTTAACCACTTTTCTTTCCATGTGACAGAACACAGAATTCAGCCAATTAGAATTAATTATTTTTGCAAATAAGATTTTGAGAGTTGCTCTATCAAGTAGGTTAGGTTTTGGGCAAGTACTTTTGCACAGGGTGTCTAAAATATATATGGGTTCGAAGTACAGTCATTTTTGTTTTCTTAAATACAGAAGGATGAACAAAAAATTAGGTAATGGACCATAATATGTTGCCTGGGCATCATAAATGGCCTGATCATCTTGCAAGAACCTGAATTAGTATTCAAGAACATTAATTCCTGCTTTAAATGCAATTTACCACTTTAAGGTCAAATTTAGTTGCACTGCTCAGGTAGTTTAAAATATCTTTGAAAAATTAATGATCAGGTCTGATTGGCCTCCCATTTGCCTTATTTTATACTGTTGTAATTCCACTGACAGTGAATGGGAGGTAGTCTTCTATGTGTGAGAGAGAAAAAAGAAAATCATTATTTACAGTCTATGTGTCGTCATGAGCTAACAAATGGATTTTTCATTGAGTGTATGTTTTGTATGCTTTTTCTGTTTTATTTTGGTAATCCACAGACATCATTATTATATGAAAAGAGGCAGTTGGGAGTTTTCTAAAGGAAATATTTATTTATTACTTTCTAGATTGCATTTGTTTAATCACAGAAATCTTGCATATTTTGAACAATTACTTGTTACCATATTTTAGTATTTTACCAAGAGAACAATTGACTTTTCCAGCTTAAGCATATTAAAAGCTTAGTCAGGTGCATGTTATATCTGGTTCCCTTCCAGTTTTAAAAATGTATAAGTTCTCTTTTTAATGTTCCAGGGAAAAGCAATGGTATTTGCTCCACGCCGAGGGAATACTTTAAACCAGTTTTGCAATCTAGCTGAAAAAGCTGGTTTCTCTATCCAAAGACATGAAAATTATGATGAACACATTTCGAACTTCCACTCCAAGGTTAGTTTTCTGCTCGTGTTAGATAACACTTTAATCCGCATTGCATTTTGAAGAGATCATGGTCCTTTTGGCAGGTAACCTAAATGTTTGATTAAAGTACTCCTTAGGTGTGCTGTTTCTGAACAGCTATTTTTGTATCTGATTATTTTGTGTGGAAGAGCCATCCTTTATCTCTGCATGTCTAGAAGAGTTTTGCAGAAGCACCTCCTGTTTACCCTTTTCATTCATAGGAATCTAATTTATGAGAGTCTTCTCTTGTTGTTGTTAGCTACCTATAAGTATACAGCACACTAGCATTTACATTTTAATAAAAAGCTTGCAACTTTTAAATAGGTTAAATACTGAAATGGACTGAAATAAATAGGAGGTGAATGTCTAATTGTATCATATCGTACCGTAAATCCTTATCTCTGGCTGCTTTATGGCTGGGTCAGTTGGCAGCTTCAAACTGCTAAATCTCATACAGAATTTCACAGTTGTGGGGTTATATGTCAGATCGAGGCGCTACAAGATTTAGGTCAAAAGCACTTATCTGAGCGTGATTTCTAAGCTTGCTTACATAAAGCTACTGTTATCAGTCCCCTTCTTTATTATTTATAAGTATGGAGTAATACAGGACATGAAGAGGAAGGTGCTTCACAGGAAACTTTTTAGGAATTTCTTATTTTCCTGTGTAGAAGTGCTTATCAAAATCATATTTATTACTTGCAGCTCTGAGATCTCTCTTTCATACCTTAAAGAAATCCACTGTTGGAGGTCCATGTGACCTTAGACCTAACCTCTTGCAATTTTCTAAGAATCGCTCTTGGAAAGTATAGACATGTTCAAAATTGAAGTGACATGCTTTTTTTTTTTTATTTAACACCATATGATAGAAATCAGATTATGCTAAAAAAATATGCATGCAATGTTGTAAATATATATTTTAATGTTTATATTACCATTTTTGTGTTTATCTTAATATTTAGTGTTTTGTATAATTTTAATGTTTATATTAATTTTATATTTAATAAAGACTCCCACTAAAGCTATGTGCACATAAAATCACTTGATTTCATTGTTCAGGTAGGTTTGAATCTGGTCACACAAAACCCCCCAAAATTTCAGTCATTGTTCATCTACCACCTTGACTTTAAATCACATAAAATGATATAAATGTGAGGCCCAATATGATGGATGTTTTATTTGCCTCCACCTGAAAAAGGGCATGATTTTGATTATGTTGTTTCATGGTGGTAGTTCTCTTTCATTATCCACTGCATCCAAATCAGCTCTGCGGCAGTGAAATGCAAGAGTAATAGTTGTTATCTTGGTCCAAGAGATGGGTCTAAAATGATAGAGTAGATTATTTTACTTAGAAAACAAATGTATTCTATCTTCCTCTGCTTATGAGTCCACTACAGTCCTTATAATGGTGACCATAGAAAAGACCTATCTGAAGTAGCTTTAAATTAAGTAGTTCTGGAAATGCCAATCATTTTACTGCAGTATTTTTAGGTACAAGCTGTGAAATGTAAGATGCACACAAACTTGAAGAGGGTAATGCCCAGTTTCATTAGTTTAAATCCAGTTTGGGAATGTTTTTTCTCCACTGTAATCACAGCTGTGAAAACGTTGTTCCTTGTTTTTCCTTCATCTGTCTCCTTTTGGCTTGAGAA